TTCTGTTATCTTTAAAGTATTTTCTAAGCAATGATCCAGAAGAAAATAAAAAAAGTAAATTTCTAAGGATAATATGGACATAACCTTAGGTATCTTCAACAGTTCACCGACTCTCATAATACTCTCAATCCACAATGCAGCTAATAGCTTGCTTTATAGCTCACAGAAGGGGCAGACAACAGAGTTTGGTCCTGCCCATACTTCCCACGGTAACGCTCCCATCCCAAAAGACAAAATGGAACTACTAAGAGACAGTGCTGTGCACCAATTTGGACGCCATGCTACCACTTCAGAGATTCACAGGGTGTCTTTGGAGATGCAGAAGCATTTGCTGCCCACGAACCAGGCTCTAAGGGACAGTGGTGATAAGGTACATGCTTTGTAAGCTGCTATCTATGTGATTGGTAGCAGAGCATCTTTGCTTTTATATAGTTCAGAGAATTCATGAAAGTTACTGAAGAAAAATAGTTACTGGATAGTTTTCTTTAAAGTTTTCTCTAGTTTCTTCACTCGGTGCTTGTAAAGTTTTAATTCCTGTGCAGTTGGTCTGTTGGGAAGAAAACATACTATATTATCTATTTTGCATTGAAAGACAGCTATAAAATTCAGCCAAGTGAAAAAGAAAGCTTTACCAGTGCCGTAACTTCATTCTGGAAATGAAATTCTACATTTCTGTGTGGCAATATCTGTAATACAGATATAGTATAGCACCCAAACCAATTTTGCTGGCTCAGGCTTTCTTACTAAAACCATCTGCTTCCCTACCCTGTCCAGCAGGTTTTAAGTGGAAATCAGGCTTGGCAGTAATGCTGCCAGTGAAAAGAACAATTGTGCCCCCATGCATTTTTTACTACTTTAGCTGAATGAAGTGCAAATATCAATGCAGTTGTCCAATATGATGTACTGTACAGTAACAGGTGTTATTATTAGCAGTGTAGGGAAGAAAGGTTGATGGTTGCTACCCTATCAAAATACTAATTATGTTATGAATGGATTTTAAAGACAGATTTCACTCAACACTTTCACATTTGCTGTGCTTTCAGTTTCCTTCTTTGTACAGCAAAGCCTAGTGATGTGCTTTTAAAAATGATATTTATCCTTTCTCACCTTGTTTCCAAATCTTTCTTGAGATTTGTATTTTCAAGCAAAAGCTGTTCATTCCTGGCTTTTGTTTCAGCAAGCTGATTCTGAAAAGACTGCAACATACACTGTGTTACTTCTTTTATTTCATTCATTCAGTCAGCAAGCTTGAACACTTTCAAGCATGTCAGGTGTTAAGAAAATTCCCATTTGCTCTGTATAGTAAGACAGAATAGGTGAGGAAACAAACCTCTTTAAGATCAAGAGGCTGCTATACTAGCCCACAGGCAGAGAAGCAGAGAACTCACAGCAAAGTACTGAATCTTTGCATAATGAGATGAAGACAGTAAATGCTGCCCAGTGAGTTTACAAACTTTGAAGATAAAAACAAGCAGACAGAAACCAAACACACATGCATTTTTATGCGGCTCTTCAGGGGTTACCATTTAGTGATCTGCATGGACTTATTCTTAGCATTCCATACCGTGAGCAGCGCTCTGTAATTCGGAGTAGCATCTAGATTTAAGAATTTTTCTTTGCTTTTTACTTCTCTCCGTATATGATCTTCAGCTTTTTTATACTGCCTATTAGGAAAAATAAATTGCTTCAGGTTATTGCAGTTCAATTGCCACAAAGATCTAAGGCTGTTTAGTTTGCAGGTACATGTGACAAAATTTCCATAAATTGAACTATGATCAGAATAGAAACATTGTCACTGGTCTTCTCTATTATTCTGGAAAGATGTTTCATATACTAATTAAATACATTTATCCCTCAAAAGAAATTACAGTGCAAGCAAATCCAATTTCAGCTTTCTAGATAATAATCTCAAATTATGGGAATGTCTCTCAGGTGTCTGATTGTTGCTCTGCATCATGTAAGCAACATGATGGAGCAGAGAAGCTGGTATTCCTTTTTTTTTTTTCTTTTTTTTTTTTTTTCCTTCTTTCTTTTTAGGAAAGTAATAAATTGAGCATAGCTAATGCAGTAGTGCTGCCTGTAAACTACTACAAAAGGAAAAGTGCAAAAACAAACAAAGGATTATAGCTCATGTGTCTAAATACAACGCCCTCCTGGCTGCACTGGCCTGACTGAGCAGCTGCTCAGACTGACTGAGAGCTATTTCCAGGATTAACCCAAACTTCCAAGACCATTACAGTCCTTGCCTGTTTAGTTTTTTTTTTTAATTATTATTTTAGTGACATCTAGAAAACAGAACATTTGCCATTCTAAGTTTTAAGAACAGCAAGGAAAACTTTGAGCAGTAGGACCATGAGGCATTAGATGAGACTCACCTTAGCTCCTTTTTCATTTGATTAATTTGAGATTCATAATAATCAATTAGACAAAGAAACCTGAAAAAGGAAAAATGGTATTTTGAATTTAAGATATTGTTACTGACCTATTGGAATAGGATAGATTATACAGCTGCACTGTATTTTAAAAGTGCCTGTTTCATATCAGTCACAGTTTTCCAAAAAAGAAATGTGGAGACATTAACCGTCTATTACATTAAAAGTCGCAAAATGACTCAAGAGGAGACCAAAGCTAAATCCTTCTGACAGCCCCTACATCTCGTGGGTATGTTCACCCAGCAAGCTTACCAAGCTTGTACATTCTTGAGCTGTAGGGCTGCAGGGACCATTGGAGGTGATATAAGAGCACAGGTCAGACACAGCCTAAGAACTTCCACTTCCAGAGAAACTACAAGTGCTTTCTAAGGAAGTGGCTGCAAGGAAATAAAGCCATAGAAAATCGTACAGGTGAAAAACTGCATTTCCTTTCGAACCACTTTGAGATTTTTTGTTTTGAATATACAAGTGAGAAATGCCAGGGAACCAATCTCAGTGCTTCTTTTTTGTTGTTGTTTAATGAGGGCACAAGAAACAGTCAGAGGCACACATATAAACCCTCTAAAATTTCTCCTAAGTAAACATCCTAGGCAGACCTGGACAGACCAAGCTACAACAGCACAATAAGACAACAGCCACCTGAGGCCTAGAAATTGTCAAATCTCTGACTGTAGCTGAAGGATAGAGATTTTCTTGCAGAAGACGTAGACTTAGAATACTTTCAGAACTTGCACAAAATGCCTGGAAACCATGCTTGTAGTTAGCAGTCACAAAAGCTGTTTTCCAACTGACTTTGTTGTTGTTGCTTTTTGCTCTGTTATTTAAATTTACATTCTAAAATGTTACAAGTCCCAAAACAAAATCACCTTAGCAGATGCAGTTTCCAGAATAAACCATTCCACTCTCTTTGCTGACACCTAGTGGATACAGAGGCTGAGATTTTTAACTTCTGCTAGGCACTTATTCAGCTTGCACTCCTAAGTAAATCTCCAACTTTTTTTCCATGTAAGGATCAAGAACAGTCACTTCAAATCCATTTATTCATTTAATGTTACAAGTCATTCACCAATATAACAAAATTTCTTACTGCTGATCTAGAAGGGACTTGGGTGCTCTCTTGCAAAACCGGCAGAACATTTTGGTTTGAGTGGCAACACGCTGCTGCTCCTCCACCCCAGCTTTGCACAGCTCCCTCTGCAAACGAGCAATAATCTCCTCCTGTTCTTGCAGCTTTTCCTGCTGCTGTTGGTATTTTGCCTGCGAAGAGATAACGGAGCATTCTGAAATTATTCTAACAAGCTGGAGATGGTGCTCTACCTGCCCACACAAGCACTTGGTTAAGGAAGCTTAACCAAACAGCCAGTGGAAGAAAGGTTCATATATTTCAGAAAATTATTCATGAAATGTAAAATCTTAGCTAAAAATAGTGTACTAACTTTGACACGAGACTCGTGTTTATTTGGACCAACGTGTACACTTCCACAGCTTTCAAAACAGGTCAAAAGTTGAGTGCTGTCTGAGTTACCTGGGAAACCAGCTGATCTTTTTGAAGTTCTTCGACCTGATTCTGTTGCCGGCAAACTTTAGCTATTGTCTCATCTTCCAGCTGACGGATTTTTGATTTAATGTTTTCCACCACGTTTTCCAATTCATTAGCCCTTTTCTCTTGTCGAGATGCACGACCTCGTTCCTGTCGTACCTCATCTCTAGAAACATAAATCTTTGATTTAAATTACACTCATTTCACTAAATGCAATGAAAGAAGCACAGGCCTGGCAAACGTTATCTGATGGTGCCCAGTAACAGCCTGCACCAGCAGGCATGGGAAATATGCCGCTATGGGAAGTGGCAGTAGATGGAGTTAAGACAACAGCTCAAGCAGATCCTTTATGCAGATATTTAAGCGGAATATTGCTGCATATTGGGCAAAAATCTCCAAAAAAAAGGTGTTTGGCCTTGGATATGACAGTAAACAGGCAGTGACAGTGCTGTTTGTTTTGCATTACCTGTAAATACCCTTCACAGCACCTTACCTAAGATTACGATTCGTCTCCATAAGCCCGTACATCATCTTCTGTTGTCGGTCAGTGTCTTCCAACAACGTTTTTAATGCAAGTCTGATTCCTAGAGAGGCCTGACCATCCAAAACAATCACATCTGGAAGCACACATCACAAACAAAGCCTTAACCAAAGGCTTTCGGTACCTGAAGATCGCATCTCCATTACCGTTTGGAACCGATGGCTTCAGCAGTGCCTCGTGACTTCAGGTCTGCTGCCCAGGAACCCCCACCATCAGCACTCCTTACCCGGAGCGCCGCCGCTGCCCGGGGACGCCGCGATGCTCAGGGGCTGCATCCCATGGCGCAGCAGCAGCGTGTTGACGGTCTGCCATTCCGCTTCCTCCTGCCGCAGCTGGGAAGAGGCAGAATCCTGAGCGCTGAGGGTCGGCATGCAAACAGCACGCAGACGCTCCGGTCGTACCGATCGCCGTTAGAAGGGTGCCAGCGAGCCGGATTTGTGCTTTCTAAAGAACCGAGCGCGGCGAGGCAAGCGCCGGGTGCCCGCTTTGCCTCGGCGCCACGTTATGTCACTGCCGCGGTACCTCCGTTATAACGAGCCGCCGGTAGAAAGAGCGAGCAGGAATGGAAAGGAAACGGGCGAACGGGAGCGGAGGGCGGGCTCTGAGCTCTGTGGCGGTAACGGTCATCTCCGGGAGGCGGGCAGGAGGGTGGCCGCCATCTTGAGGCGGAGGGGAGGAGGGACCCGCGCGGCCGGAGCGGGGCAGGCGGGTAGGCGGGGGTGCGGGCGTGGGAGCTGCGTGCGGGAGCTGCGTGCGGGTGTGGGGGCTGTGTGAGGGGTTGTGGGGGCTGCGGGCGAGCGTGTGACGGCGTAATGCCGAAATAAAAGCTGTGTGTGTAAGCTCGCTCCATGCAGCGCGGTGCGGGATGAGCTCCGGGCCCTGAGTGGATGTCGGAGGCGGTTTGAGTCCCGGTGGCGGTTTTGGCGTTGATGCTGAGGCTGATGGATCGCGGCTGTGCGGTTCCCTCGCAGCTGAAGGGAGTTCTGTGAGAGCGGCCTCGTTGTAGGGCAGCCGAATCCTTCGTGCTCTTACACACAGCCGTCTGTGTAGGGAAAATGACGTTTGTATTACAGCAGACAAAGCCAGTAGCCATAACTCCATCCATTCTCAGCACTCCCTGCTGCTATCCTGCTTTTCTTCTTTTCTTGCTGCTGATTGGATTAAAAGCGCTTTGGTTACTATGGCGTCCCGTGAGGAGGTTACCCTCAGTGAAGAAGAAGTAAGGTAAAACAGCAGAGCTGCAGCACATATCGTTGGAAAGATATCCCCCACTGCAGCGGTCACTTATGGCTGTACCAAACATGAAACGTGTCCTAAATGGAAGGATATCTTTTCCAGTCTCCTTCCCTGTGCGTGTTTGTGTGTGCAGTGTTGCGTTCCCAAATGACAGGTAGTATTTCTGTTGATGTCAATGGATGTTAGTATTTCTAACAGTATTTCTGTTAGAATCAATGGATGGTGAGCTTATGTGTTACAACTGCTTCTCAAGTTCAGAAGGCTGAAGCAGTTGTTCAGGGAGCAAATGAAATGTTGCACTTTAAAGCCTGCCAAAAAATAACTGCAAGGAACATCTGAGTTCTAAGGACAGTTTTTAATTATATTGCCCCCTGACCTGGAAGCTATAGAGGTTGGATGGGTATGTATCTTTTTATGGTGCTTGTTAGAGTGAGCCTGCATACCTACCTGTTTTTGTGATGTTTTGTCATATTTTGATGTTTTTAAAGCAGGAACGTGCAAGTAATTGTGTAAGCTTATTCTCTCATGTCTTGTTTTGCAGTTGTAAAAGGTAACTTGCCCTAAAGCAGTAACACTTTGAGCTGTAGTCGTCAGTATTTGAATTCTTTCAATGACGATTAATTGACTTTATTGGTATTTCCATAGGTCTCGGTACGGCCACTTAGAGAAGATGACAGATTTGGTAGCTGTTTGGGAAGTAGCTTTAAGTGATGGTGTTCATAAAATTGAATTTGAGCATGGGACCACTTCAGGAAAACGTGTCGTCTATGTTGATGGAAAGGTGAAATTGCTATATGCTCAACATTCACTATAATACAATTATATAAGTCCATTTCCATACAGAAAGTCATCAGAACAGACAAAAGACTACTACGTGCAAGTGAGGTGTATTCTGTTGGCTAACTTTGCCTCGTGTAATGAACAACATTCCATCAGAAGAGGGCTGGCCAGCAGGAATAGGGAGGTGATTGTCCCCCTCTACTCTGCTCTTGTGAGGCCCCATCTGGAGTGCTGTGTCCAGGTCTGGAGCCCCCAGTACAAGAAAGACAGAGAGCTGTTGGAGAGGGTCTAAAGGAGAGCCACAAAGATGATCAAGGAACTGGAGCACCTCCACTACAAAGACAGGCTGAGGGAGCTGGGCTTGTTCAGCCTGGAGAAAAGAAGGCTGCGAGGTGACCTCATTGCAGCATTTCAGTACCTAAAGGGAGCCTACAGAGGGGAGGGGAATCAACTGTTTGAAAGGGTAGATAACTGCAGGACAAGGGGAAATAGTTTTAAGGTAAGGGAGGGGAGATTTAGGTTGGACGTCAGGGGGAAGTTCTTTTAGAGAGAGAGTGGTGAGGTACTGGAACAGGCTGCCCAGAGAGGTTGTGGATGCCCCATCCCTAGAGGTGTTCAAGGCCAGGTTGGATGGGGCCCTGGGCACCCTGGTCTAGTATTAAATGGAGAAATCGGTGGCCCTGCATGTGGCAGGGGGTCAGAGTTTCATGATCCTCGAGGTCCCTTCCATCCTTGGCGATTCTGTGAACATCATTCTTGTCTCAGTTACAGTTAAGCTGTGACTATCATGAAGTGCTTTGCCATCCTTGGGCAGAAGTGCTCTGTATTTATAAAGTATTGCATGCTTGTACCTTGAGGAAAAAGGACAGTTAAGTACTGAGCTGTTTCCTGAGTTCTGGTGCACTTTTCTGAAATACTAAAACACGTTCTCAGGTTTGTCAGTTAATACCTATTGTTTGTGTGTTCTTCTACAGGAAGAAATACGAAAAGAATGGATGTTTAAATTGGTGGGTAAAGAAACATTCACTGTTGGAGCATCCAAAACAAGAGCTACTATTAACATTGATGCAGTCAGTGGCTTTGCATATGAGTATACTTTGGAGATCAATGGAAAAAGCCTCAAGAAATATATGGAGAACAGGTCAAAAACAACTAATACTTGGGTACTAAGCTTGGGTGGTACAGACTATAGAGTTGTTCTGGGTAAGTAAATACGGAATGACTTGACATTGCTGCTTTCAGAAAAGCCTGTATGCATTTAGCAATTGGTAATTAAGAGAAAGCATAGTTCAGTGGTGTATGGGAACTGTTCAGTCATGGCCTGAACCACTGAGCACTTGGGGAAAGGACCTGGTCAGCTCTGGGAGCACAGGTGAAGGCAATTCAGCTGTGTGACTGGAAGGGGTGGAGTCTGGCTGCACCTCTCTTAGACCTCATTTAAGGGCTGACTGCCACTGGGGAAGGATCCCTTTCTGGAAATTCCTCTTTGGTGAAGATTTTCCCTGTGAACCTGTCTTCTGATATGGGCGAGCAGTCTTTTTCCCTTCCTTTATAGCACCTTTCTATTTTGCTGGTTTTTCTGTCGTCTCACCTTTGTTGTAATGCCTTTCCTACTGTACTGATCTGTCCAATTGCTACAAGCAGCTAGTAGTATTGCAGTGTAAAACCTTGCTGCACTAAGTTCTGGAGAATGTTGGAAGTATATACCAAAGACGGGCAGAAGAACGGTAATCTTGTTATATCTGTGTGTAGTTTTATACAGCACTGTTGTTTGTTAACTCTGTTGTAATGGGGATTTTCCTTAGAAACTATAAACCGAAGTTAAAGAGTCGTGAAAAGAAGTGTGTCAGTGTTACTCATTGTTTTTTTGATAGATTAATCAGCATGCTGTTTTCTGCACTGCTTCTTAACTATGAACTTAATCCATAACCTTCAGATAATGTTTTTATACTTTCTTGATTGCAAGATTATACTTTTTTTTTTTTTTTTCCTTTGCCCCCTTTCCCAAAGTATGTTAGAAGATGAGAGGAAGGGATCCACTGAGGAATTTGTCTGTGGCATCTAGTGGTAAAACTTCCACTTAAGTATTGCTGTATGGTTATACGTGGGCACAAGATTGTGCTGGACTGTGGTTTCTTTTTGAGCCTAAGGACAGAATGAACTGCCCTGAGATGAAGATGCAGGGGGGAAAGAAAGGCAGTTCCAGTGCAAAGAGATAGCCTGGTATCCTTCTCTCCATAATTACTTAAAAGACAAGCAGTACTCTGCTCTTTGTTATGTCACAAGGACAACATTTTCTCTAATGTTAATTTTAGAGTTGAGTATATATCCATAGCAAAAATTGTTTGCGCACGGATGGCAGAGCCTTCTGTCTCTCCAATATAAGAACAAACTACTAGCTGAGATTAATTAGGACCTTCTCCAGGGAATTAAATATAACATGAAAGAGTAAACTTGTAAAATCCTTAGATTGTTCTGTCTGTAGAAGGAGGGAGAGTCCTTTCTACTTTTTTTTTTCCTTTCATTCACAGAAAAAGATACTATGGATGTGTGGTGCAACGGTAAAAAAATGGAGACAGCGGTACGTAATCACTTCCACAGGTTTTTCATAGACTGTGGCTCTAATATAACCAAAGTAAGTCACAGTGCTTATCTGTTCACTAAGTGGCATGCTCACTAAGCCGTGGCAAGGAGTATGTTGCTTCACTTGGGTGTGGAGTGTGGGTATACCTCTAGACTTGCATGCTGATGATCTGTTCTTTGCTGTATTTATTAACAGAATACTTTGTCTCCTGGATTACCTCTTAAGATGCCAAAAGTCTGTCTGTATAAGAATATACAGTGCTATGATTTTTGGACAAATGAATCTTTTGGGTCAATTGTCCAGGGTTTCTAGTGAGAGAATGCTCAGGAGGGACTTAAATTTGATGCGGCCTGTAGAGCCATCTCATCCAGACCTGCTCACATTAGTGGTAACTGAAAGCTGAACCCCTGTGCTCTTTAATGGGTGGTGATTTTTGTCCATTTAGAGACGATCCCTAAGCACCTCAGGCTTAGTTCATCTTGCTGGAACGAGTAAAATCTTTGTCACATCTGCATTAACATGCATAGCAGATAGATACTTAAAAATCTTAATATATTTGATGTCTTTTCATTTTATGGAGGTTTTTATTATGCATGTTATGTAGGCTTCCCCAGCCCTGAAGGGTGCATTTTCTCACCAGAACTGGCACTATGGTGGATGCATACTCCAAAATGAGAAGCTAGGTAACTGCATCTACAGACTACAAAGGGGAGGTTAGGAACTGTGCATCTAAACTGGATAGCATGTACTCAATTCAGGGATCTGTCCCTCCTGTTGCAGAGGGCACCAACAAACTGATGATGTGAAATGTTGGTTGTCATTTGAAAACCCAAATTCTTTAACTGGCAGCCTGCAGCTCTGCAGCATTGTTCAGCAGCAGCCTATGGCTGCAGTAATTATGAGAGCTACAAGTGACCGTGACCTGGAAACAGTGTGATGCTTTGAATGGTTATTTTACTGAAAAGGGCATCTGTTTTTATTCTTGTCTCCTTTCTTCTAGGGTGAATTCGTAGAAGATGGGACTGAAACTCACTTCAGTGTTGGTGATCACAGCTGTTACATTAAGGCTGTCAGTAGTGGAAAACGAAAGGAAGGAATTATTCACACTCTTATTGTGGATGACAGAGAAATTCCAGAGGCTGTGGAATAGCTTCTAGTTAACCGATTGTTTTAGGACTCAGATCAGGTACTTTTAATTACTGTGGTAATTATTTAAATAAGAGGCATTTGGACAATGCCCTCAATAACACACTTCAGCTTTCAGTTAGCCGTGCAATGGTCAGGCAGTTGGACATACTGATCATTGTAGGTTCCTTCTAGCTGAACAATTCTACTACATGTAGAACACATGGTAGATCTGGTTTGTGCTGGGTTCACTTCCTAGCTTCTGTACATGAAATTCATCTTTTTGAGGACCAAACATAACTATATGCAACACTATACATTACCAGTTCTTAAAAAGCTACATAGAGAAATAAGTATTATATCGCTAAGTAGAGAGGGCAGGTGAACTTAAGTAGAAATTATATGGTAGAAAAAAAACTCAAAATATTCAATAATACTGAGTACTTTATATGGAGGGAGAGAGCACATACTGAGCACTGGAGAAAGCTGTTGAAATTCTCCATGTTTTTTCTTTTAAATGTACTTCCAATGTTCTTCAAATGCAGTTAGGAAAATAGTTACATAAACTAATAAAAAAGGTTATTAAGCAAATATATTTTTACCAGTCCTTGTGTAACTATTAGAATTTTACTTAGCTATGAAGACTGTTGTTTATTCACAGTAGGAGGAAAGGTGATATGTATGCTATGCCAAAGAAATCCTGAAGGTGTTTTCTAAAATGATGCTTGTTCTGAAGTTTTGTACTGATTTTTAAACACCCTCCCACCCAACCGAACAAGAAACCTCTTGAAGCAAGCTGAAATAAGAACCTATTTTATGTAGCCTAACCTTCAATCTACAGCTGTCTGTCAGTAATTATGTGTGGCAATTCCGGCAATAACGTGTGAATAAGGAAACGAGGAAATGCAGGACAGAACTGGAGAAGAACTTATTGCTTTAATGGGAAAGTTAAGACAGGAACAGAATATTCTCACATTCCAGCTTCCTCAGGTGGTTTTTAGAAGCTTGTGGGGGGGGAGACATATTGCCCACTTAACATTACCTTAGGCTCACCTTACAAAAGGGACCTGTTTTGTGACAGTGCAGACATAAATCACTTTTAAAAAATAATTTATTTAAGAGTATCATTTTGCAGTGATCCAAAAATCTTTTTCCACTTAAGACCTTAAGACTTCTTCCCTTAAGACTTCAGAATTAGACTTTTATAACTTATTTTTTTGTGGTTTGTGGCCATTATGGATGCTATTTTAAGAACTGCAAGTAAAATACAGATGTACTAGGAACTTATCAGCAGATTTTTTTTTTTTTTAAATCTTATTTAAGCATGGATCACATCCATGTTTTAGGGCTCAGAAGCTCTGTTAGCACAGTCTCATGGTTTTTTTTTTAATAGTTTTGTGCAGGCCCTTCTCCCCAGATAATTACAGTTTTAACCATATGTGACTTTTCAGTCTAAAAGCAGACCTGATGTTGACTGACAAGTCCTTATTTCTGCATTACACCACTGCTACAACCAGATGAGGTGTTCAGCTGCAGCTGTAGGTTTAAATTCTCTGGATTGTACAAATCACAGAATCGTGGAATGGCAAATCTGCTAATAGCTTTTAGTTTCAGACAGTGGATTTGTTTTAAACTCTCCTAACGCCGGACATAATTTCAGGCTTTACTGCAGAAAGCTTTAAAATAATTGAGAACTGGACTGAATCCTTTAAAATTGAAATTAGTATAATAGCTCTTGGGCATTTACTGCGTTCAAGTTGCTGTGGAAGTAGTGCAGATATACGTGGCTACAGTAAGGTTGAAATAATCTCTACAACTGAATCATTATCATGTATCAGTAAAGGCACCTTATTGGAGAGCAGTCTGAAGTTGTGGCTTGAACTAGTTCTCTACCTGCATGGTAGCCATTCAAAAAGATTGAACAGCACTGGGAAATCTCAACCTCAAATATGGTTCAAGTCCCATCTTTAAATACTATGAGGAAACATAACAGATAAGCTGATAGTATTATTTGTACTCTTTATTTTGAATACACGAATCTATAATGCTTCAAAATCTCTTAACTAATAAAAACTAATAGCAACTACAGTTAGAAATCTTGAACTGCCTCATGTCTGTCATAACCTTACTGAACAACAAATCCTGAGGTGGAAAACAGCATTCACCTGATGCTTTCACACATCATGGTGCATTCCCAAATATAAGAATCAAACCAACCTTGATTTCTTGGGTTTCAAAACTGTGTGCAATACCTTTAGATTAAGACAGTGAAATGAAAGAAAGAAAATGCAAACCTAAAACGTATAGTCACATGCTAAGAATACTATAAGACATAAACTATTTTAAACTAGTTTATGATGTTTTCCATTCATTTTTAATTCTAGATCACTTTGTTCTAATCTCCTTAATGTTATCACCTTGCTTTTCCTCAAGGCTGTTTCAGAGCTGCCAAGAGGCCCTTAGATCACAGTGTGAGTAGGCAGAGCGCCCTCTAGATATCTAAGCAGTAGAGTTCGTTCTGAGGGGGGCTTCCCAAGAGGTACAGTGACTAATTTCTCCTCAGGTCGCTGTTGGTTTCCTCAGAGGTCCATGGGACTCTCCTTCACCTGGGTGCAAGTCAGCAAATAACATGGAAGGGCTTGAAGAGTGTTGCAAATGACAAAGGTGTCAGGATTGCTTATATCATCTACTAAGCTGTCATAAAACATACTGGCATCTCCTTCCACTGCTGGTGGCATAATGTAAGACTGCTTGCCTTTGGTGTATAACCCTGTTAGTACATCAGCCTCAAACACATAGATTTTAGAGTCTGTTTCCTTCCTGTCATCCTCAATTAGGCTGTTTGGGTTCCTTTTAAAGTAGATGCCAGCTCCGTATCTTTGGTCTGGAAAAGAAACAAAAAAATATTAAGGAAAAAAAGTCTTTAACAACTGGTTCTTTTTGGGGTGGTAGTACTGAAAGTTTGCTTTTCATCAGGCTGCTGAATATGTGCATGTGCAGCAAGTAAATACAGATTTGGACCTTCTTTAAGGACCGCTGCAACAAAGTAAAACTTGGCCATGGTATTATGTCTACATTAACAATTTTGTGAACAGTGGTTGGGTTAGAAAGGAATCCAGGTTTATCTTCCCAGAGCTTTGCTGACTGCAGTGTCTGGACAGAAAGCAGTAAGCTCATAAGACTCTTGATGCTGGTAAGAAGCACTTCTTGTGTAGCATAGTCGTTATTTCTGATTTTAATCCAACTTCAGTTGTCAGTCACTGTTTGTTTTGATTAAAGATGTCAAGGCAAATTATATTACCTGTTGGTGGAGAATATATCCTGTGAAATCCAGTTTGGCATATCAAAGTACAGAACTGAGCAGGAACACGCTGGTATAACTTGTGGGATCCTTTGGAGGTAACTCCTTTTTCTTCTAGATTTTTTTTCATTTGTTGAAATGCAGCAGATAGAAGGGGATTGTGTATTTTTTCAATCTGTAACACAAATAAGCAAACAGACAATTACCCATGAAATGTGCAAGTGCTCTTGTTCAGACTGTGCACTTCAATGTAAGAAACTTTGATTTGGGTTATATGCATTGAGCACCAAGCAGGTAAGGTATCTGAAGTGTGCGGCCAATCCCCAGAAAGAACCATGCTACTATCCAACACCTCTGACTGAAGTCAGTTGAAAGCAGTTAATGCATGTTTTAAGAACTTGCATTAAGTTCAGATATATCACTTGAGATTTAATTTTGCCACATATACCTTATTTACCTTAAGGATGTGAAGCCCAGTCCTTTCAAACTGTTTCTGTCTGTCCTTAAATCCCTGAAGGTGTGAGTCTACCTGTAACATTTGGAATTGTTTGGTAGAGTTTGTCTTGTCAAGGTGTCCTTCTGAAAGCTGATCTGTGTCTGGTTGGCCTGGAAACAAATAAAGAAGTAAAACTGTTAGATATGGTAATAGCTGAAGCAAAGGCAAGGTGAAAGGTTCCCATTCTCCTTTTGGTAGTTTAGTGAAGGAATGTTAAATATTCTTCAAAGTAATGCCAGAGATTAATTAACATTGAGAGGAGACTGTGTACACTCCTGATGTTGTTGCTGGGAGTTGCTGAAGGGAAAAAGCTAACAACTGGGCTTTCAAGGGCTCATATGACGGAAGTATGGTATTATCAGCAATTGAACTAGTGCTCAGTGTATGTGAACTGAACGCATGCTTGTCCACTCTCAGCAATACACAGGTATATGCTGCTGCTTAATTTACCTTATTTGTGTGCTTATTTACTTGATCACTTTTTGACTTTACGCACCCATTAGTTGCAGCAGTTCCTCTTGTTTGGCTGTAGTATGCTCTTGCATAGAAAGCAGTAGTTTTTCAGTTGCAAGCACTGCATCAATCACAGCATCTGGGGGTCCATGGAATTCCAGGCTTGCTTTCCCATCTTTCACTTTTTCTGACACAGACACACTGGAATGTTTCACTCGAGATAGTTCTGCATATTCCTTTGTACCAAGGCTAAAAATGTAGTTGTTTTCAATGACAGCAGAGTGACTTTCCTGAGTTTGTATCAAGCTTTGAATCCATAATTCTGCTGCTTTCAATGCAAAATGTGTCCTCCCCTTTAGTTCAATGGCCAGTTTATTATCTGTAGTCTCCTTTATACCTTGACTGCTTGATGCTGTACCTGGAACAAGAGTGAAGAACTTTCAAATGCTGTCATCACAAATTCTTATACATAATCCAAAGTGTGCAGTCAAGAAACATTCTGCTCTTCTGATCTGCTCAAAAAGGTGGTTAAATACCAGAAGGTATTCAAAACAACAAAAAAACAACACACAGAATTTTGTTTTTTTTTTGCCTTCCTTTAAATGAATCCAACAGGGTTGGCTTGGGCTGATGGTTTTTTTTTTTTTTTTTTGCTTGAAAGACTTCTAAAGAAGTGACCAGCTTCATTCCTGTCAATGTAAAAATGACATGTCTCTTAAGTGATACTGACAAGTAATGCCAAAATTAGCAGTGACAGCATATGCTTCTGAAATTTTGCTTTGGAACAGTAAGATATCTGGTATATATATATTTTTTTTTTCCTAAGCTGAAAGTAAATCTGTGCTGTATTCTTTTTATTCATACGTATCCTATATCATCATGTTTGAAGTGACTGCATGACTTCTCTGTTCAAACTTTTCCTACAGCAGTTACATCACTTTGATTACTATGTATTACTTCTTTGTCTGGCACATTGGTGACTTCTTCTCAAACAGAAAGGAACAACTTCACTTCCCTGAACTGAAAATTTAGCCATAAGGTGATCCATCACATGCAGTCATCAACTCCACTGACTGCCAGCAAGGTCCTAGCCAAAAGCAGGGCTATAATGGAAACCTAGTGGTAGTAAGCCAAAGGACTTGTGTCTTGGCACTGTTTCTCACATGCTTTCATCTTCTCCTTTGCTTGTGACAATTAATGCAGTTACTAAGTTATTTGTAAAGGAATGTGATTGCAGATCCTTAGATCTGGTCTGCTCATTCACTTGAAATGCCCCCTCTGTTCATTACTTACTCAAATAATCACTTCTGTTGTTATTCTTTTCCAGTTTGCTTGCTGCTA